TGGAAGCCTAATGTAGAAGAACGGGTAAAGAAGGCAACAAATGCTTTATACGCATGTAAAAGGATGCTGGGAAGTACATGGGGTCTCTCACCCGGTCTTATGTACTGGTGCTACACGGCTATAGTTAGACCTATATTACTTTACGGTATATTAGTTTGGTGGACAGTTGTGAAAAAGAAAACATATATAAAACCCCTGGAAAAGGTCCAAAGACACGCGGCGATGTGCATCACCGGTGCAATAAGAACAACTCCGACGGCAGCTCTAGAAGCTATACTAAACTTACCCCCAATTGATATCTTTGCCGAGAATATGGCGGCAAAAACAGCCGAACGAGCGTGGTAAGGATGGAAATTTTTACCAATTTCCAACCTACATATAACTAGTGTGCAGTTAATACCTGAAATAAAAATTGATTAATTTTTATATAATATTTTGAAAGTAAATAACTTACCATAAACCCACCCCCGCATGCACGTAACTGCACCAGTTGAATAAAACCTGAGGTTACATTGAAAATTTAAAAGAATGCAAAATATATTCAAATAAATAAATATTGTACCTACCTTATTTATTTATTATTTAAACTTGTACTTTTAATATTTTTAATATTTATTTTTATTTTAATAAATAAATATAAATATTTAAAGCCGCCACTACCGACACTAAGCTAAACACGTTTCAAAACAAAACAAATGCACAACACAAGAAACGTCAAAAAAAAGCTTTTGTGCAAAGAGCTTTGTGTTAAAATTGATGCGCGCGCATATTAACTACGGCGAAAGCGCAAAACAGCAACGACGTCAAAAATCCAAGCCAGCTGTAAACTAAGCTTTGCGCTACGTTAAAGTTTGGTCTGATGCGTATATAAGAAGACGCATTTACTTAGAAGAGGCAGTCAGTGATCAACACGCAAAGTGTTCAGAAGCAGACAGAGGCTCGTTATCAACTTTCGAAGACTAGAAAACGCACCAGGGACTTGGACAGTCAAATACAACATACAAAGTCGGCCGCAGAGTTAAGTATAAATAGAGCCTTACATCACCGATTTTCGTTTGATTTGTTTATTCCTTCCCGGTAGCAGATATAAGCGTGGACACGTTCATATCTTGTTATTACACCCTAATATAAAGCGTGAACACGTTTTATTCCTCCTATAGCCACCGTACATAAGCGTGAACACGTTTATATCCTTTCCAGTAGCAAATATAAGCGTGAACACGTTCATATCTTGCTATTAAAACTTAATATAAAGCGTGAACACGTTTTAGATCCTTTCCTACTTACTAAGCCATATATATATATATAGGCGTGAACACGTCTATAGATAATAACGTCTATAACCCGTAAACTTTTCTTCCACAACAGATATCATAAATATCAAATATAAATGAATAAACATTGTTAGTTTTAAGACAACTTAATAATAAATAAATATTGAAATCAAACACTGTCTTTATCCTTTAAAAATTTATTGTAACGACCCAGGACCAACCTCTGAGTATTACCCCGGCAAACAGAGCGACGGAAAATTGTCGTTACAATTGGCGCCCGAGCAGGGACAGTGTTCAAGGATTTTTTAATAAAGAAGTTATCCCAGCCAAAATCAAGTATGACCGTGTTCAGGAGATTTTAAATACGAAAGCAAACAGGAAACTATGTAAACCGAAAGAAATTATGATTTTATCATCAGAATGAATGGCACAAGCTAAAATATAAACACAAGACGTCCAAAGATTAAATGCCTCATGTCGATCATGGCTTCATCATATGCTCATGTCGTAGAACAGATAAGGAAGTGGTCGGTACGTTACGACGGACGAAAGAATCCATTGGGTTTTATAGAAAGAATAGAAGTACTAGCAGATGTTTACGCCATTAACGTAAATCTTGTTCTCAAGACGATGCCTATACTTCTCGAAGACAAGGCACTAATGTGGTATCGCAATAATAATAAGCATTGGCAGTTATGGACAACTTTTAAAATCGACTTCCTAAAATTTTTCATTTCCTCTAAATATTTTGAAAAATTAGAAGACGAGGTGCGATTGCGGCTTCATAAACCAAAGGAAAAATTCAAGGATTATTTTATCGACATTCAAAATTTAATGCGACGAGCTTGCCTGGATCCAGATTCACAATTAGAGCGAATATATCGCAACATGAACACAGATTACAAAGTGTACATCAAGCATCAAGACTTCACAAGCTTAAATGAGTTAGCAACACTTGCTGATGACTTTGAAGAACTTCATACAACACAGCACAAAGTGAGTCGAGACCATGTTCAAGAAGAAACTATCCACATGTGTACAATAGTTGCGCACCCACCAATAATGCCATTACAGAGTACAATGAGACTCATATCCACGACGCCAGTACGAGTTGAAGATAACTATAGTCTAGGTCCCGTATCACCTGTTTGGAACCAGCAGCAAAGTAACCAACAACCCAACCAGTCGATAGCTGCGCAAACAGCAGCTAGAATAAATAGAATTGCAACTTCAAAGACAGCATCACTATCCAAGCCAAGTATAATACAAAGCATGCAATGTCGAATTTACCCAGAGCAGCAGTCAGTAGAACTGCGAGAAAATTTACAAGCGCAAACGCCATGTAAATGCCTCATATCAAACAAAGAGATACAAGAGCTCCAAATCCCAGAAGCACAACGTCAGCGAAATATAAAACATATCAAAGAAAACACAGAAGTATGTAAACAACTTCGAGTCAAGCAAGATCAACAAAAGTTACCAGTACAAATACAAAAGGCACAACGACAACAAGGTCCAAGATATATCAAAGAAAACCCAGAAGTATTTAAACAATTCCGAGACAAGCAAGATCAACAAAAGGTACTAGGTCAAATACAACTTCAACAACAGCAAGATACTAAACCTCAAATGGAATCAAGCGTAGAACAACCGTATACATCATTAACTGAAGTAGTAGAAACTTCATCACTTTGTATACCTCAAGAACAACCATGGCAACAAGTACAAGATATTCAACGACGAATTACACAAAAGGATGAAGTCATCAAACACAATACAACGCAAGTTCAAATGATTAATAAAACAATAGGTTTTACCCAACCATCACCACAACTAGGTTTGATAAAACACGCTAGTCAACAGGAACAACTATCACAGCAAGGAAAAAATAGTCCTACTCACATGAAGGACAAAGTAATCGGTTACCCTGCACAAGCAAGAAAATATTATCACGGAACTCAGAATCCAACCATCGTTCAAAATCGGCAGCGACAGATGAAATATCCAAGTATGCTCCAACAGAAGGGTGATGATCACCACATCAGAGACCAACTCAATTTTTACAAAATTTTTAAAACTCCAAAGAAACGAAATCGTGCCACCAGGTAGTATCTCATGTTAACTTCACTTCCCGAAGAAGGAAGGAAATGTAAGGATGGAAATTTTTACCAATTTCCAACCTACATATAACTAGTGTGCAGTTAATACCTGAAATAAAAATTGATTAATTTTTATATAATATTTTAAAAGTAAATAACTTACCATAAACCCACCCCCGCATGCACGTAACTGCACCAGTTGAATAAAACCTGAGATTACATTGAAAATTTAAAAGAATGCAAAATATATTCAAATAAATAAATATTGTACCTACTTTATTTATTTATTATTTAAACTTGTACTTTTAATATTTTTAATATTTATTTTATTTTAATAAATAAATATAAATATTTAAAGCCGCCACTACCGACACTAAGCTAAACACGTTTCAAAACAAAACAAATGCACAACACAAGAAACGTCAAAAAAAAAGCTTTTGTGCAAAGAGCTTTGTGTTAAAATTGATGCGCGCGCATATTAACTACGGCGAAAGCGCAAAACAGCAACGACGTCAAAAATCCAAGCCAGCTGTAAACTAAGCTTTGCGCTACGTTAAAGTTTGATCTGATGCTTATATAAGAAGACCCATTTACTTAGAAGAAGTCAGTCAGTGATCAACACGCAAAGTGTTCAGAAGCAGACAGAGGCTCGTTATCAACTTTCGAAGACAAGAGAACGTACCAGGAACTTGGACAGTCAAACACAACATACAAAGTCGGTTGCAGAGCTAAGTATAAACAGAGACTTACATAACAAATTTTCCTTTGATTTGTATATCCCTCCTACAGCCACCGTATATAAGCGTGAACACGTTTATATCCTTTCCCAGTAGCAAATATAAGCGTGAACACGTTCATATCCTGCTATTAAAACCTCATATAAAGCGTGAACACGTTTTATCCCTCCTATAGCCACCGTACATAAGCGTGAACATGTTTATATCCTTTCCCAGTAGCAAATATAAGCGTGAACACGTTCATATCCTGCTATTTAAACCTAATATAAAGCGTGAACACGTTTTATCCCTCCTATAGCCACCGTACATAAGCGTGAACACGTTTATATCGTTTCCCAGTAGCAAATATAAGCGTGAACACGTTCATATCCCGCTATTAAAACCTAATATAAAGCGTGAACACGTTTTAGATCCTTTCCTACTTACTAAGCCATATATATATATAGGCGTGAACACGTCTATAGATAATAACGTCTATAACCCATAAACTTTTCTTCCACAACAGGTATAATAATTTTTATAAATATCGAATATATATGAATAAACATTGTTAGTTTTAAGACAACTTAATAATAAATAAATCTTGAAATCAAACACTGTCTTTATCCTTTAAAAATTTATTGTAACGACCCAGGACCAACCCCTGAGTATTACCCCGGCAAACAGAGCGACGAAAAATTGTCGTTACACGACTACGCATCACTGGGCAACTTACTCGAAGATCTTTTGGGCATAACGTTGTTAATCAGAACGCCACTCTTGATTCGGATTATATGATCCCGATCATGTACACCGGAGCAACAATAAAAACTGTGATCGAAAACGAAGGATGCAGAAAAGGAATGGTGCCAAAATGCAACACCATAAATGTTTTCACAGACGGTTCAAAGATGGAAGTGGGAGTAGGAGCTGGCATCTATTGTGCGGAATTGAGCATAAGAATGCCGTTTAAACTTCCCAACTACTACAGTGTCTTCCAAGCAGAAGTGTTTGCTGATGAAACGAGAAACTACTGCATAAATTTCTATGTGGATAGCCAAGCAGCCATTAAGGCGATCAAATCTTACTGGTCATCATCCAAAAATGTTCTAGAATGCAAGGAAGCTATAGCAAAACTAGCCTGCAACCGCAGACTTTGTATGTACTGGATTCCTGGTCATAAAGGCATAGAGGGAAATGAGACAGTTGATGCTATTGCTAAAAATGGCGCAAAACTTTCAGAGGAACAAACGAGGTAAGCAAAGGTAAGGTGGCGGAACTTAACCACCTGTAGAACAGCTAGAATTATGTGTAGACACATGTACGAAGAAAAGTACACCAAAAATGTTATATCGTTTAACCGAAGGAACTGTAGAACATTAATTGGTGTGTTGGCAGGTCACTGTTTGGTTGCATCACATGCCCGAAAACTAAACCTAATTCACAACGATGCTTGCAGGAAATGCAATGAGCCGGATGCAAAGGAAACTCTAGAGCATCTGATGTGTAATTGCCCGGCTCTCTCGAGAACTCGACAAAAATACTTGGGAGCTTTCAGTTTTGCAGGACTGGAGTACATACCTGAGGTTTCTGTTGGAATCTTAATAAATTTTGCTAATGAAACGCGCATCCTAAGTGATGCATACAATCGCTAAAACAAGACTCTGATCTTTTAGGCCTGCCAGCATAATCTAATCTAATCTACACAAATTTAGAGATTTCAAAATTTCAGAAATTATTCAGTAAAATGATAAAAACCAAGGAATTATCAGTTGAAATTCGATATGAGGTTGGTACCTAATATAAGAGTGAGATTTCAGAGACGAACTTAGTAAAGTTATGCAAAATATTACATAAAATGGTGTAAAATCTAGTTAAAAATAAGAACATATGAGAAAATTTAAAAAATTTGAAAAGGACTGGGCGGAAACCTCCCATGAATCAAAGGGAATGCAGAAGATTATTAGAAGTAGTCGTAGAAAATTCTACAATAAGTCCTGTCAAAATAGCAGTATCATCGGAAAAGTTGATTGGCAAGATTATTAGTGATGCTATACTACATCACAGGTTGCAAAATATTAATATCAATACCTATGTGGTGCACAAAAGGGTCATTATTACTCTAACGACCTTATTAAATATTCTCTCATTTGCTTTGAAGAGTTTTAAGAAACCTGTACAGTTTTGTTACAATGTGTTATGAACAGATCAGTCTGGATTTTAATTCTAGGGCTCACTTGATAACCACTCCATGCATTTACGACAACGCCAAAAGAATAAAGCAGCGCAGCCACTCAATAGATTTGAAGGTGGCACGGTTTTGTTTTGGGGATGTCTATCATGCTGTGCATTTGGAGATTTGGTAACGAAAAATGGCACCTTAAATCAATCCGGTTATATAAGTATTTTAAATAACCATGTCTTAACATTAGAAAATAGACCCTTTCCAATCAATAACTGGGTTCTACAACATAAAAATGTACCATGTCATCAAAGATGTAGACTTAATGCAATTTTAAAAGAGTTAAATAACGCGTTTTTTTATAGCCTGCGCAGAGCCCTTGTCTTAATGTCATTAAATATACTTGAGACTTAATAAAACAGCAAAATACTATTGATAAAAATCAAAAATGTAGTGATAGCATAATCGAAATAGCGAATATTCGGTCCAAATTGATTCGCAACTTGATTGGATCAATTTCAGCTAGTCTACGGGCAGTTATTGATGTCAAAGGTGGTGTAACCAAATATTAATTATATTACTTAAAAAAAAATTTTTTCAATTAAGAAGAAGAAAATGAAATAAACGGTTTGTGTAAATACTTTTGACGCGAAAAAAATGTCTGTAAATACTTTTGACAACTAATAAGCATCGGCGCAGTTGCTTATATTTTTGTCAAATAAACAGTTATCTTTCCAATTCGTTTTTTATTTGGTTCTGCATAGATAAAACTAATTTTTCGCAACTTATGTCCAACAACAACAATAAAAACATATTTTTACAAAACATGTACAAAACTTTCGTTGTATAAATACTTTTGACTATGGCTGTATAGTGAAACAGCTGTAACTATAATGTGTTCACCACAGTAATCCCCCCTCAATGAGCATCGAAGACTGTGACTTTTGTTCGGCAAAAGTTACTTTACGTACCTTATTTCTGCTGCCGTCCTTATGATTGAGTTTAGTCGGCTTGATTAATATCTCTAAGAATGAGGGGTCTGTTGTCTGTTCATTGTTTACTGCGAGTAACGCTGGATTCAGACTTTCTATTGAAACGTTTAGCTGTTTGCCACTAACTTGAATTTTGAAGATCCGTTAACTTATTCCTTTGATACCTTTATGCGACTCAACCGGTTTTTTTATATGAACAGCATGTAAGAAGATATGAATGCAGTCTATTAAATCTGCGATCCTGAAGTGGGACCTAATTGTTGCATTCCTCTACGAAATTGGTTCAAATTGGTTCAGGTTACTTCGCAACAGTTGTGAGGCTGCTGCAGGATCTGCATGTTTTGCCTTCATTACAGTATCATCCACAAATATTGCGGTGTATGTTTCAGCGTTGAGTGAGACATCTGCTGTGAATAGAGTATATAGAGTAGGAGCCAACACGCTTCCTTGGGGAGGTCCAGCTTCTATCGGAAGTAATTCAGTGTTACAGCTATTCATTTTAACCATAAAATGCCGATCTAGTATGTATGATTTTAAGATGGAGAAGTAGCTATGCGGGAGTTGGTACTTCAAATCGTAGAGAAGTCTGGTGTGCCATCCTATATCGAATGCTTGGGTTATGTCGATAAGAGCTGCTGTGCAGTATTCTTTATTTTCCAATGCCAGTCTTGCTAACTTGTAGATTCTATTTACTTGTTCAATAGTAAAGTGGTGCTCGTGAAACCCCAATTGGTGGTTGGGAATCAGACGTTTTAGGAATACTCTCTCAAATACTTTTGACAACACATGAGGTAAGCTGATGGGTCTGTAAGATGATGCAAGTTCGACGGGCTTACCAGGCATTGGAATTAATATGATTTGGGCGACTTTCCATTGAGCTGGATAGTGTTCACAGGTGAAAATTGCATTTAACAATTTGTTTATGAATTTAAATCCCACATCTGGTAGCTCATGTAGCACCTTTCCGGTTATCAGGTCATATCCTGGAGCTTTTCTGGTTTTCATTTTGTTTTTTATGACCCACTTTAATTCACGAGTGAAAGACCTAGGAATAGGAAAGTCTAATTGATGCGGCATGTGGAGAAAATCTTCAACTTCAGAGTCTTTCAGATTATTTTTAGAGCAGCGTGGCTGAAAGACTTTACCAAAGTGTACTGCAAAAGTTTTCGTATTATCAGCATAACTTTTAGCCTATTACTCATCTTTATTAGATGAGTAATTAGGGGTGTAAGTTAGATCGCCTCCACGTGGTGCACCCTGGGTAATGCTAAATGATCTATTCTCTCACCGGACACTGTCCCTTTCATGGGCTCCAGTATCCGCTGGCAACGACCGCTTTTTCGTCCTCGGACTACTCTACTGATCAATTTCTCTGTTTTTGATCGCCTTGGGCTGGTGGTTACAGGTTTCTGGACCTAGTTGTCTTCTGACACGGTAGCACCGGGGTGACACTCGCGTGTGAACGGCTCCAGGCTAAGTCTGTGGCTGCCTCCGTCCCGTTAAAACCCTGGCAGGCCTCAAAGTACGTTCTGCATCCGTCGCCATTAAGTTGGCCGTGTAGGTTCGGTTGTAGCTGGGCTCCCGATTAGCACTGATCTGGCTCTGAGCACCTGTTTCCCATAAGGACTGGTGCCAACCCTCGCATGGCCTCCCTGCACTTGCATAGATAACCATGGGATCTTCGCCGGTGACTACACTCACGGGTTTCAGATAGCGGCTTTGAGTGGGGACCCAACAGAATGAATAATAATAAAAATAAAAATAATAAACAAACCTCCAACCCTTCGGGGGGACGCTCAAGCCTTATTAGGCAAGCGTCTGTCAATCCGTCTAGACCTCTCTCTCAGACGGCATTACTAAGCACAGCTTCGTCATCGAGCACCTCGGCGTCTATGCCAGGTAGCAACGCTGCCTCTTGTTCTTCTGCAGGCGCACCGGTCAAAGCGAATTTGCTGACCGCTCCACCAGCAACCAACACCAACTCCAATTCCGGTGTAAAATCTCATGTCAACCCCTCGACGAGGGCGTATAGAACACGGAGGACAGCTCACCGCATTCTTGCTAGGCTAAACGCCGCCGACCCTTCTTCGCTAACAGAAAGCGACAAGGCAAAAATAACTTGGGCAAGGGAGAATGTCAAAGTCCGTCCCGCCGATTTTATAAAAAATACCTCTGCCCCTGTGCAAAAACGACAAAGGTCGACTGAACAGGCTGGACAGTCAGCAACGTCCACATCTTCGAAGCGTCCCAAGCTGGGACCTTCAAAACCCTCCAAACCTCTTAGTGAAATCATTAAGGAGAGTCTGACTTGGGCCATAATTGATACTGGCAACAGTGACGGCACCATTTCCCCAGTTAACTGGAAAAAGGTCGAGCGGGCTCTCCTGAAGGTTTATATGGAAGTCGTGGCTCTTCACCCTGGCCCTTCGCCTTGCTGTCGTGACGCAGGCTGGTACCAGGGTCATATAAAAATAATTGCTTGTTCCGATCAACGCTCGGCGGATATATACAAAGAAGCAATTGGTAAACTTGGGGAACTCTGGCCTGGCGCACAGCTTAAAGCTGTTTCTATGGATAATATTCCACAGCGCCCTCGCTCCAAAGTGTGGCTTCCTTCGGAGCTCTCTTCGCCTGAGGAGATTCTCGCACTTCTTAAGGCAAGCAACCCAGATCTTCCTACCCACGACTGGAAGGTTGCTAAGGTCAGCGAACCCAGAGGCGACTTCATAGAGGCTCTCGTCGTTCTTAACGAACAATCGCTCGCCCCCCTTCAAGCCCGAAATCGGGTGATCAACTATGGCTTCGGGTCGGTCACCCTTAGAATTTACAAAAGCGACTCCCAAGTCGCCCGACAACAACCTTCTGGGGTTGTCTCTTCAGATCCGGTCTCTGATTGCAGGGCTGTTGTTGCTGATACTAATATCACCGAAGACGGGGTAAGTGACAAAATCAGTATCCTTTCCTCCGACGATGGAGGCAGTATTTTCTCGTCATCCGAATTGGTTGGCGAACTTTTTACAGATATGGCGCTGTCCCGCGAACCCTCACCGATGTCGGACGAGGACAAGCTGTGCAAATTAACCTC